CTTTCCAGGATGCAGCCTGTGTTTGGCCTTGAGCGGACATCTGCTTAGGCAGTTCTAGATAAGGGCAAAGATGGAGGCTGAAGGTGGCACAGGCTGTGGCCTTCATGGAGGCCAAGTGTTTCTCTACAGTCAGCCCTACTCCAGGCTGCCTTACCCCTCGAGGGAGGTGGACATGTTTTCCCCATGGAGGGAGAGGAAGCTGGGATGGTCTAATTTCAGCTTGTGCTGGATTTACCAGGGAGGGCATTTCTGAGTGATATCCTGGGTCCTTGTGACAGGTCATGCTTACTTACACCGCATGGGGTGGCCCCCCAAAAGGTGTTCTCAAGCATTACTGCACAGGTGGATGAGCGAGTGCGGGGAGGGCAGGGTCCCACGTGCTGCATGGCTCGCGTGCATGCTGCGTCCTGTTGAATGGTTATAGAATGTGTGGGTGGCCTCCAGGGAGCCTCTGTCCTCTTCCCAGCCCCTCTCCAGGTAGAATCTAAGCGGACTGTGGGGAAATTAGGGTTTGCAGTTGTTTCTTGGCGGTGACTTGCCATGCGGTGGCCTGAGGTTCAGGATCTGATACCTTGGACTATATTTATTAAAAAATCTGTCTGATCAGCCGGGCGTTGATGGCACATGCCTTTAATCCCAGCACTCGGGAGGCAGAGGCAGGCGGATCTTTGAGTTCGAGGCCAGCCTGGTCTACAGTGCGAGTTCCAGGACAGGCTCCAAAGCCACAGAGAAACCCTGTCTTGGAAAACAAAAACAAAAATCATCTGATCTTGTAAACACACACACACACACACACACAGTGACCATTTGTTACTATGTGAAAGGAAGCTAAAACCAGCTGCTAGCCACAGCTGCCACGCCGGTTAGGTTGAGGGACAGGGCGCACTCAGATGTGGAGGGCTTTTGCAAACACTGTCCTCAGTGTCCAGCAGCCGGCTAGTTCCCGGTTCTCCCTCCCACGGCTTGGGACTCCCTGTCGCCCCCTGCAGCCAGACACGGGGGAATCGATGACTGAAAGGCAGCGAGGTGTCACCTCCCACCCCCAGTGCCACTCTGAGTAAAATGAAGACAGCCCGGAGACAGCGTCCGTTCATTGTCTGCCACTCGGGCATCAGACTTAATTCTCCTCAGCTCAGAAAGTTTGTCCTCCCCTCCCGTCACAGCTCCTTATCTGCAGTCCAGCTATGAAAGGGCACATTGACAGCTGGGGGTGTTATCTGGCAGAGGGGACCTTTTCCTTGGGTGTCTCCCAGATAAGACGTCTTATCAGCCCCCACGTCAGGGATGGTGCCAGAGCGTTCTAATCATTGAGGCTTTGCGACATTTTCCCATCCCATCCCCCACCCCCCTTTATTAGCAAAGTCACAAAAGGCCTTGAGCTTATAAACAGTCTGACTTGCAGACAGTGGCTCTCCAGATGGTCCCCACTGGGCTGGACGGTGATGGTTTTGTGCTGGAAGGTTGAGGGACCCACCATCTGCAGATGGGATGGGGCCGGGCAAGGAGGCCGACCAGAAACCTCAGGAAAGGCATTAGTATTGTTTTGTTTTGTTTTTCCAGACAAGGTTTCTTTTCTCTGTGTAACAGTCCCGGCTGTCCTGGAACTCACTTTGCAGACCAGACTGGCCTTGAACTCATGGAGATCTGCCTGCCTCTGCTCCCAAATGCTGAGATTAAAGGCGTGCTCCATCACTACCCAGTGGCATGAGTATTTAAGTGCCCACCACAGCCCTGTTCCTGGATTGCTGTGTGACCTTGTGCAGGACCCTTGACATCTCTGGGCTTTTTCATCTCACAATGACCAGTTCGTTTGGATGCCTTATTTTTACTTTGTTTTTATTTGCATATATGAGGGTGTGTTAAGTGTGCACATGTGCTGTGTCCGTGTGAGGGTGTCCCATGTGTGCACATGTGCTGTGTCCGTGTGAGGGTGTGCCGTGTGTACCTCCTGAAGCTGGAGTGACATGGGTACTGGAAAACAAGCTCAGGTCCTCTTTAAGAGCAACACACTTAACTGCAGAGCTGTCTCCAAATGTCTACTTATTTAAGGGTCATTCCTGGCCAGACCCTGGGGAGACGGAAACAGATAGGCGTGGTTCTTGCCCCATAGAAACCCACGGTTCAGCAGAGACGACAGACATGAAGTCGGCAATTACAAGTGAGTGTGATTAGGGCTGTGGCGAGGGACACCCAGGTGGCCCTGAATTAACATGATTGGTTGGCGGTGCCACAGACCCAGGGCACAGCAGGTACCGTGGTCGGGAGCTATGAGCCCCTTAGTCAGAGGAGGGCCTTGTGGGAGCATTAGAGATTGGCGGCGGGGAGAGCTGGGCCAAGCAGAGAAGGTTGATTGTGTTGGGACTAGTTTAACGGCCAAAGTGTTGGGATGTTATGGGAACTTGAGGTGGGCATTTATTCCCCATGATGCTTGGCTGGCCCCTGGCTCATCTGAGACCTCCACACACACAGTGTCCAGTACTCACAGCAGGATACAGGGTTTGGGGAGAATGGACGGTGATCTGGGAGACTCGAAGCAGAGAAGCCTCCTCTCCATCTCCAGATGAAGCTGGTATCCCAGGCTATGGGTCAGTCAGTCTGGTTCCTCCAGAGGAGGAAACTGGCAAGAATTGCCCTGAGAAACTGAGAGGAACCAGAAGTGGGCGTCATCTATTCCTTCCTAGCCTGGTGGCCTCCTTGGCCCCGAGACTCCTGGACATCCTAGCTCTGGAGCTGAGAGGCCTCTGGAGCTGGAGCTCTGGAGGCTGCTGGGGTACCAGAGCAGGCAGGCTGCCCTCATTCTACAGCTATAGCCCATCACCAAGTGTGCTAGGATGGATAGCCCACCAGCATGCCCTCATCCTGGAGTGGGGCTTGGACTCTGGCCTCCTGCACCTGGCAAGAGAGTGCTTTGGGATTCTAGAAGAATCATGGAGTGGCTTTTACAAGCCAGAGAGCACCACCCAGCCAGTGCAGGGACTGGGCGTCGGGACTTCCAGCCTCTGACGTCCCTCCTAGCCAAGGGCTGCCCCTCCAGTCCAGTATCACCTGTGAAGAGGAAAGCCTGGGCAGGTCTTAGTGCATCAGGGTGGCAGAAAGCAGATGCTGTGACGGAGGGGTTCGGGAGAAGTGGGCGGGGTCAAGGCGAGTGCCATGGGCCTCTCACACCTGTGTGTGCGGGTACCGGTCGAGTATTTCGGGGACCCCACCCATGTGAGGGAGCATGACACGAGGTATATGTTGCACAAGCATGAGTGTGTGGAAAAGTGTGTGTGGAAATCCGCACACTCGGGTTGAATGGGGGACTGTGGCCTCAAGGCCGCGCGGTGGCATGTGGTGGCATGTTCCTGCCACCTGCTCCATCCAGGTCCCTCAAGAGCCGGCTGCTTTCTGCAGTCAAGGGCTCCATCCCTGCAATGAGCCCACTTCACTCCCTCCTCATGCTGTCGTTTCTGCCTGATTGTAATGGCATATTTTAAAATTACCAGAAATCAAAGCCGGGAAGTGGATATTGCTGCTTTTATTGCCTCCTCGCTTGCTCGCTTGCTCGCTGTGTTAACACTGGTGACTGGGGGAGGGGGAGGCTCTTCCCCCTCCCCCACACCTATCCATCCCCCACTTCCTTTTTCTTCCTTTCTTTTTTTTTCTCTTTTCTTCTTCTTCTTTTTTTTTTTTTTTATAGACAGTAATAGGAGAAAATTGGTTTTGAAACTGAATAAAAGTCCCTTTCAGAGGAAATCTTTACTCGCGGGTACCTCTGCTGAAAGTAAAATAGAAGCATAATGAAAGGTGGTTACGCGATGATTGTCTTTCATTTACCGAGAGGCCAGGACAGACGGGAGGCTGCCACCGTCTCGGGGAATACAAGATTGGAATAATTGCGCCATAACAAGGAGCTTGTTGTGAAATTAGTATCCTAAGAAAGTGGTGAAAAAAGGCTTTTCCTCATGAATACTTCATTATTAGAAGCAGCAGAATTCCGGGCTTCAGACACCTGTTTAGTATTAAATACCTTCCCTCTCTCTCCTTAAACAGCCCCTCCTCCTTTCCAACCAGCTCAGGATGGAGGCGACCCAGGCTGGCTGCCAGGGGCGGGGAGGCTGTCGACGGGGAGGGTACAAAAACCTTAGGGTACCCAGCTGAGCCCTTCTCTGTGGTAGGGAGACAGGGGGAGGAGGGGGAGAGAGGGAGGCCCCCACTGAGACACCCCATCTTCCAGAGGCCTCTAAGGCTGGCTTGTCAGGGTACCACACCCTCAGGAAGGTGGGCTTTGCTTGGTGAGGACATGTGGGATTCCTGTCCCCCCACCCCTGGTGCCCGGTTAGGTAGGTGAATAACAGCTGGGCCCGTCTCGCTGCCATCAAGGGCCGCTGTGGGTGACCCTGGCCTCAACCTTCCTACTTGGGGTGAGCAGTCAGGGTGGAGCCACCCCAGGCCTCCTCCCCAGGACACCATCCTGACACTTCGTCTCCAGGGGTAATATGGGGACAGTCCAGTGACCTTGTGTAAACAGGGACACTGTACCCACTGGCCCTACCTGAATATTCCTGTGTGGGCCCCTTCCCCATGAGCTGGGGTCCACCGCCAGCCAAAGTGCAGCCTGATAGAGGGGTGAGAATCTGGAATATTTGGGGGCGATGCACACACTTGAGCTAGCCAAGGGACAGGGCTCATGAGTTCTGGCCATGTCGTGGTGGGGACCTCTAATCCCGCCCTGTGCCTGTTGGGGCTCCTGTGGATGCCTCAGTTTCCTCCTCTGAAGATGGAATGTGTGTTCTGAACATCTGTCCTGAAGGCATGCGTGGTGGCATTACCCCCCCCACCAATGCCGGCACTTGGGGGCTATATGCTGTAGGCTAGCCTGGACTACAGAGAGAATGGCCTCAAAAACAACCGATCTGTGATGTTCCTTGAGGTGCTGGGGAGGGCGGGAGGCTGCTTGGAGCGGCTGTCGGTGACCAGCGCCTTACCTCCCTCTTCACAGGGACGCGCAGGACGTGCCCACCTGGGGCTCCCAGCTCAGCCATGCTGGCCTGTCTGCAGAGGACTCAGAACCCGCCCGGCCAACACCTGGTCTGTCCAAGCAAGAGCCTGGAGCTGCGCAAGTGTGAGTGAGACCCCTCTTCTGCCTCCCGGTCCCTGTCCCCTCCTCTTCCTCCTCTGAGTTCTGGGACTTGCTTTCTGCTCCTCAGCCTCTACACTGAGATACATTTGTGCTCATCCCCCAGGGAGCCCACCCACCACACGCCTCCAAGTCAGAATTCTGGAGCGGGGTATGGATGTGCACCTGTAACCCCAGTACCCAGGAGGGAGGCCAGCCCGGACTACATACTTTGTAACATTAAAGCAGGGATGGCCCATGGGTCTCCAGCGAGGCACAACATAGTTTCTGTCCTGTGGCCCGTGAGCAGCTGTTTACGCTGTTACTGCTGGAACTATTTGTTTATCTTGAAAGTAGCATTCTTGTCCAGCATTCCTGGGGAAGGAATGAGCCCGAGCCCTCCTTAGAGGCAGCTGCTGTCCATTTCCTCCGAGCCCATAGATGCTTTACGAGCTTTGGCAAATGCTTGCACATCTGATAGGGTCCAGCGCCTCACTCGGTCCTCAGGTCATCCCCAAAGAGCTGCCTCTTCCTGTGCCCCTTTCTCTGGCAGGGATGAGCCATAATTTATTTGGCCAACCCTCTATTTAAGCTGTCCACCTCTTGTTGATTTGATAAGCAGAAGTAAACCCTGTGTTGTCACCAAGTGTGACACAGCATGGGGAAACTCCAGAAGAGGAAATCCGGGCTCAGGGCAGGTTAGAGACTTCATCATGCTGGTGGGTGTGGCCTGACAGCTGTGACAGTGTAAAGGACCCACTTCCCCACAGAACAGGCCCCGACACCTGGGCGGTGGGCACACAGGCTTTCGTGTAGTTTTCATTTGTGATGACAGAAGTTCAGTGTCTTTGTGTGGTAGCATTTGTTCTAACTTATAGCATTCTGTGCGTCTGTCTATTGGGCCACTTTTTGATGGGGCGCTGGGTCTGTCCTTTGTTGATCTGTGCGAGCTGTGGTATAGGTCACACGTGAACTGAGTACTCCCCTGGTTTGAGTTTTGTGTGGATTCTGGTCCTTTGTGACTTTGAGTCCTACTTAGGAGACCTTTCCCCAGGCTGCTTTTTAAACGGAAACGGTCTCTCCAAGCCCTCTTCCAGTCTCTTGTTTAAGAGTATACGACTTACATGCTTCAAAAGGCTTCTCTGTTTTTATAGTATTAAAAAGTGTTTGTAGGTCAGGCGGTGGTGGCGCACGCCTTTGATCCCAGCACCAGGGAAGCAGAGGCAGGTGGATCTCTGTGAGTTTGATGCCAGCCTGGTCTACACAGTGAATTCCAGGACAGGCTCCAAAGAGAAACCCTGTCTCAAAAGACAAAAAAAAAAAAAAAAAAAAAAAAAAAAAAAAGTGTGTGTCCAGCACTTGGGAGGCAGATGCAGGGGGAATCTCTGTGAGTTCCAACGTTCCAGCTTGGTCAGCATGGTGAGTTCTAGAACATCAGGGCTATGTAGAGATACCCTGTGTCAAAAAACAAAACGAAAACAAATTGTTTTATGATTTACTGGCTTTGAAGTAGGAGGCTGAGAGATCTGAGTGAGGTCAGCACTCAGCCCAGTACAGGCCTCTTTCCTTTCTGTTTGGCGACTCTGGGGCTTGAACCAGGCCCTCATGTAAGCAAGCTCTGTCCACTGGCTAGCTAGCCAGGTGAGTTTACTGAGCGATGACCCCATCCAGCCAGCAGTGATCTCTGGGTACTCACAGTCTGATTAGCATCAGCAATCGCGGCAGCCTCAAACCCAGCGGCAGCTGCTGCCCGCCTCCCTCCACCCCGTCTCCACAGCGAAGTTCAACGCTCAGCTCTCACAATCGATTCATCATGTGTGTTCCTTGTGGTTGTTTCTGTTCTTGCATTTATTTATTTTACGTGTGAGCACATGCGGAGGTCAGAGGACAGCATGTGGGAATCACTTATCTCCTTCCATCATGTGTGTCCCAAAAGTCAAACTCAGGGTCCCCCAGCTTGGTGGCCAGCACCTTTATGCGCTGAGCCAGCCATGTGGCTGGCCCGGCATGGCTGGGTCTCCGGGGTCAGCCACACTGCAGCAAGGGTGACACATGCTGAGGGTCACTTGGTGCTTCATGCTCCTTGGTAACCCAGTCCAGATTTCCATGGCAACTTTGTTTATTTGCCTTCTGACCTGAGGAGCCACTTACTTAGCGGTGTGGGAGTGCATACCTTATCCCGGAGAAATGGTGTTTTGTAATGGTCAGGCTTCCTCCTGTGTCCCCCACCCCGCCCCGCCCCGCATTTAGCTCCCACACATTTGGGGGCCAGTCTGCCCCTGGAGAGGAGAGCATTTTCCACACACCACTTCTCCCGTAGCCGGTGCTGATCATGGGACTGCACATTTGTCATGGGAGTTAGGACGCACCCACCACGCTGCTCCCCCTGAAGGGACGTGGGATCACAGGGGTGCATCACCATGCTGGCTTTTTGTTGTTTTCAGACAGGGTCTCACTCCGTAGCCCTGGCCGGCCTGGAGTCTGCTGGGTCAATCAGGCTGGCCTCAAATTCACCACGATCCACCTGCCTCTGCCTCCACAGTGCTGGGGATTAAAGTGTGGGCCACCAAGTCTGGCTCCTACCTTACCCTTGTTTTGTTGAACAGGGTTGCCTCTCTGACCGTCATCCATGGAACACTGACCGTGGTAGCCGCCATTACACATCCTGTAGTGTGCAGATTGCCCTGCCAAGGGAACGCTAGCTGTGAAATGAGTATTTGATCAAGTTAAGTCAGCCTCCATTTTATTAAAGTCTTACAATCAAGAATGGGGGTTGGAACATTTCCAGATGGCTTTCCGGGTTAGAGTCTATGAGAGGTGACGTCACTGGGCGCCTTCATGTTGCAGTACCCTTGCATTGTGGTTGAACCCCACGTGGTCATGGAGGAATCGTTCTTCATAAGGCTTTCGGGTTCGAATCTGTTAAGATTCTTATCTCAATTAGAAAGGTCTTTTTGTTTTTATCATTAATAAAGGGTCTTCTTGCCTTGTAGCCCTAACCCTGCCCGCTGCCCCGCATCAGAACAATTTGTCGTTGACTGTCTACCATCTGCAGCATCCCTGTCTCCCTGCACACTTGTGGGCAGTTAAGTGGGACTGTCTGTTGGAAAGCTTGCTCAGTTCCAGGGTAAAACTAAGCCAGTGTGTGCCGGGTGGGGCTGTCTCTTCTCCTGCTCCATGAATGGGTCCGATAATTTTAACATAATTTGATCCAGGTTTTTCAATGAGGCTACATAGGGATGAACACATAGTGTAACTTGATCACCCTGAGGCCGGATATTTTCTTTGTGTTTGTAGCTTCCTGCTCAGTTGTGGGGGGGGCCTGGGAGGGAACAGGGCACAGCCTACCTGAGGGTCCCACCCTTGTCTGAAGCAGTCTCTCCCCTGGCTGGAACCTGCTGATTTGGCTGCCAGTTGTGAGCCCCAGGCTTTGGGCTGTGTTTGCCTCCTCAGAGCTGGTGCTGGGGTTACTGTCTCCTGTCCTCTTCCCCTGTCCTTAATTACATTAGCTGATGTTATGATCTATTGCCATTCCCTAACGATCAATCTATAGTATTTATTAGGAACATTACCCTTTTAAGGATTCTAACTCGTTGGCTTATGCTTTTCTTTATTAAAATCCTCCTATCTCTCTGTGTGTGAGAGAAATCGTGTACACCACCGCTGTTGGGTGTGGGTCAGAGAGCGGATTGCAGGGGTCAGTTCTCTGCCTCCATCATGAGACTCCAAGAATTGAACTCGGGTCTCAGGTTTGGCAGCAGGTGCCTTTACCTACTGAGCCGTCTTGCATGGTCTGCAATGATGTAATTTTTTTTTCTTTTTTTAAAGAAAAAGGCTACACAGTCTACACTGGTATTTTGAATTTATTTTCTAGTTTTACAGTTTTGGTTCTGATTTTTTTTCTTCATCTTGACTTTTACTGCACCCTAACTGTGTTTGTATGTGTGTGTGTGTGTCTAGGGACATACCACCCAAAAAATACCAGCTCTTGTGTGCAGTCCTTCCTTCCTGGTATAAAGTAACCTTTGGTTTGGCTTGGTTTTCTCAATGGGGATTCAGAAGGCTGCCAGCCTGTCTTTGGTTGAGGGGTCGGAACACACCTTCTCCTCTCTGCATCCACCTGGATAAGGAGCTACGTGCCCTCCGCTAATGATCTCCAGACTGTTTCTTCTTGTAGACTCCATGATGATACTGCAGTGCTGTTTAATGTGCAGCTATCAGTACTGTAAACCTTCATGGTAATCCATTTAAAAAAGGAAAAAAAAAATGTATTTAACGCTTTGGAGCCTGGATGAGACTGTAAGCTAATTAAGCCCTGCTTTTGAACTCAAGTTTTTCATGGCAGCCCTGCCAGCTCTCTGGATGACTTAGTTTCCATGTGGCTCTACTGCTGTGATTGGACTACGTATGGGGGTGGGGTGGGGTGGGGTGGGAGGGGTGCCTTCCTCCACCGTCTCCCTCCAAACCCAGTGCTCAGCGGTTGGCAAAGCCGGGCGCCAGGCACTGCACCCCTTATCTCCCTCCCTCCCTCCCCTTCACATACTGCCGAGAGCAGGCACAGGGCAGGCACAGAGCTAGCTGCATCTTTTTCCCTGCAGAAAATGATGGAATCGGTGTGTTCAGCAGTTGCTCTTTGGAGTTTATATTTGCAACCTCAGCAGCTGCAGGTGGCACCTTCTGGTCCCTGTTAGTAAAGATGAGGATGAGGCCGCGCTGGGCCCAGCCCCTCATTCCCTATCATGGACCGCAGCACCGTCACTGCAGCCTCTCTGGGGCATTAGCCCAGTTCCTGGTGTTGGTTCACGGCGTTCTCAAGAAATAAGGTCATGCACCAATGTGTAGCCTTACGCTCCCTCATCTGAAGTTAGTCACCAGTGTGTTGCTGGGTGGCCTCACATAATCCATATTCACGATTTCCTGCCTCCCAAATGCTCCGGCTCCCGTGGCTGTTAGAGAGGGTTAAAGAAAATGGAACTTGATGCCGCCCTGCACCCTTCTTTTCAAAC